CGTCTACTAAAATATAAAAAGTAACAGTATCGTGGTGTGTGCCTGTAGTCCCAGCTACTTGGGAGGCTGAGGCATAGCACGGTGGCTCATTCTTGTAATCCCAGCACTTTGGGAGGCCGAGGCGGGCGGATCACAAGGTCAGGAGATCGAGACCATCCTGGCGAACATGGTGAAACCCCGTCTCTACTAAAAATACAAAAAAATTAGCCGGGCATGGTGGCGGGCACCTATAGACCCAGCTACTCGGGAGGCTGAGGCAGGAGAATGGCGTGAACCCGGGAGGCAGAGCTTGCAGCGAGCCGAGATCGTGCCACTGCACTCCAGCCTGGGCGACAGAGCCAGACTCTGTCTCAAAAACAAAACAAAACAGAACAAAAAGCTAGGATGGGAAATTTTGTTGTATGTATTTTACCACCATCCAAAAAACTACAGCAACCCTCCCCCACACCTCCCACGCACACACTCACCACGTCATCCTCGTAGCCCCCCGCCAGGACTAGCGAATACGCTCCGTCGTTGCTCCGGCCATGGATGCCAGCCACGTGGGGCCGATGGACACCCGACTCGCTGACCTGAGGATGCCACCAAGACATAATGGTGTCCTCTGCAATGACTGCTGCAGAGAAGCTCCACCGCCCTCCTCCTCCCTACCCCACGGAGCCAGCAGCCTCACTTTTACGCCAAAAGTGTCAGGCCTGCGAGTGGCCTACTACGTGTGCTGCTCGGCCAGAGATGGCCAGAGTTTGAGCTGCACCATGAGACCAGCTGGCATGAATGCCAGTCCCATCAAGCGTGCACGGGGCAGCCTCACTGCTGATCCCAGATGCTCCGCTTCGGCTTCCAGAAAGTGGGGGTGACGGCCGGGCATGGTGGCTCACACCTGTAATCCCAGCACTTTCGGGGGCCGAGGTGGGTGGATCACTTGAGGTCAGGAGTTCAAGGCCAGCCTGGCCACAAGGTAAAACCCTGTCTCTACTAAAAAGACAAAAATTAGCCAGGCGTGGTGGTGTGTCTCTGTGATCCTAGCTACTGGGGAGGCTGAGACAGGAGAATTGCTTGAACCCAGGAGAGGGAGGTTGCAGTGAGCCGAGACCACGCCACTGCACTCTAGCCTGGGCAACAGAGCAAGACTCCATCTCAAAAAAAAGAAAAGTGGGGGTGACGAGTATCTGGTGGGACTGAGCTCTAAATGAGGTTATGATATACAAGCCGGCCTGGCTGGGCGCGGTGGCTCAAGCCTGTAATCCCAGCACTTTGGGAGGCCGAGAC